TGCGCAATAAATTTGTTTTCGGTTTGAGCAACCAAAGGATATAAGCAGACTCTTGGAAAGAAAAACGCTAATATATATACAACATACTTCTAGAGCAAAATATGAGCATAATGAGCACTCAGTAAATTTATACTTTGAAACGTAGAGTTTGGAACCAGCACCTCTTTCGGCAAGAGGAAATTTTGAAAAACTACCGTTTTCACTTGCGAACGCAAAAAGCAGAGGAAACATGCGATCAATTCCTAGTGAGACTGCGTAGATTGGCAGTAAATTGCAATTTCAGTACATACCTGGAGACGGCGCTGCGCAATCAATTTGTTTTCGGTTTGAGCAACCAAAGGATATAAGCAGCCTCTTGGAAAGAAAAACGCTAACTTCGGATTAAGCCGTGACAATTGCGTCAGCATACGAAAACGCGGAGAAAGGAGGAATGGAATTGCATCGGAACACAGCGGAAACAGTTAATAAAACTCACACCGTAAGAGGGAATAGCACAAAGAAGTATTCACAAAAACCTAAGGCTTCACTGAACACACCCGAAGTCAAGAACAAAAAAAAAAATATTCTATAGATGTGGCAGCACTACACAAGACCGATAGAATACAAGATTGCGCTGATTGATGTGAAATTCTGGAGAGTAACGTGAATATGACGTCATCGCAGATTTGCCCGTGGAGAGTGCTGAGAGAGATCTATCAATATGTATATCGTCGTTTAAAGTACAAAACCGCGTATTGTCATTCTGCAAAACCACGTATCTGACATTGGCTANAAGAATTGTCAATATACTGGATGAGCATTTCAACCCAAAGCCAAATGAAATTTTGAAAAACTACCGTTTTCACTTGCGAACGCAAAAAGCAGAGGAAACATGCGATCAATTCCTAGTGAGACTGCGTAGAATGGCAGTAAATTGCAATTTCAGAACATACTTCGAGACGGCGCTGCGCAATAAATTTGTTTTCGGTTTGAGCAACCAAAGGATATAAGCAGACTCTTGGAAAGAAAAACGCTAATATATATACAACATACTTCTAGAGCAAAATATGAGCATAATGAGCACTCAGTAAATTTATACTTTGAAACGTAGAGTTTGGAACCAGCACCTCTTTCGGCAAGAGGAAATTTTGAAAAACTACCGTTTTCACTTGCGAACGCAAAAAGCAGAGGAAACATGCGATCAATTCCTAGTGAGACTGCGTAGATTGGCAGTAAATTGCAATTTCAGTACATACCTGGAGACGGCGCTGCGCAATCAATTTGTTTTCGGTTTGAGCAACCAAAGGATATAAGCAGCCTCTTGGAAAGAAAAACGCTAACTTCGGATTAAGCCGTGACAATTGCGTCAGCATACGAAAACGCGGAGAAAGGAGGAATGGAATTGCATCGGAACACAGCGGAAACAGTTAATAAAACTCACACCGTAAGAGGGAATAGCACAAAGAAGTATTCACAAAAACCTAAGGCTTCACTGAACACACCCGAAGTCAAGAACAAAAAAAAAAATATTCTATAGATGTGGCAGCACTACACAAGACCGATAGAATACAAGATTGCGCTGATTGATGTGAAATTCTGGAGAGTAACGTGAATATGACGTCATCGCAGATTTGCCCGTGGAGAGTGCTGAGAGAGATCTATCAATATGTATATCGTCGTTTAAAGTACAAAACCGCGTATTGTCATTCTGCAAAACCACGTATCTGACATTGGCTACAAAAATTGGATTTGCTCACACAAGTTCTTGGCTCAATCCTTATCCATTCGTCCTGAAATATACTAGCCAGGAATGCGATTGCTTTATAAAAAAGGGAACCATTTTGAAATACGAGTGTTTTTACGATCTAGAAAATAATTTCTACAACTTCACATACGCGGTTTTGCATTTTGCTGATACGCGGTTTTGCACTTTAAATGACGATATGTATATAACACACACAATACACAAAATCTCCTATGACGTCATATTTCTGTAAAAATTTTCAAGAGAGAGTTAGTGGTATCACAATCAGCGCCACCATCTGTATTCACTTCACCATGAGCACTACACATTTAGCGAATGAAAAGAGTATTCGCTATGCAAAAAGAGAGCACAATTTTGAAATTTCATTTGAAGGGGAAGTTGCAAATTCGTGCTGGGAAAACAATCTTGTTGCGAGTCACTAATAGGTTTGTTCCACGAGCCCGCGGGTACCCACGTGTGCCCAAAACAGCCCAGAAAGCGTTCCTCACGCTAGAAAATACCTTCCAATTTTGGAACGTAACAGTCTTCTTCTTCATGCCCGGACTTTTTTCCGGGCAGAAATGGGCAAGAAGTCAATTTGAGATAACAGCTGTTGTTTGTTTACATCCGATAGTAAATTTTGTAAAATACAAAAATGGAAAATAGCAGTAAAGGTTCAGATATGTAGGTATTAGGGTGCCCATCGAAAATGCTTTTTTTTTTTTGGAAATTTCAAGACTTTAGCCTTTAATTTGATTAATTTTAATGAGAAATATTATTGCCTATTTTTACAGCTATTTTAAAGGTCATTTAGAAGTCTTGACCCGTCGATTTAGGTCAGAAAATACGATTTTATTTATGAGTTTTTGAATGCTAATTTTTGATTCGATTTCAAAGATCGAATATGATCAGAGAAGAGGATATATAGGCCTTTAAAATAGTACATAAAAATATATTGTCGGACTTGGCTAGTTAGTGTTTTTCATCGGGCAAATTAAAAAAAATGCTCGCTAATTCCTGTTCGCGCAAACCTTAGTAAGTTTCTCTCTTTGGGAGAGATTAAGATACCTTATTCTCTGAATTTTGTTACTGGCTAATTCTTATTGGCTTTTGCATAGACTGCGTTTATAACTTTTGTCGACGCGATTTTTCACATTCCCTTTTGGTGTTGCTCATTTCATTTACACACGACGATTTTTGTGTATGCAATTGTTGTTGTCAGCTGTGAACCGCTAACTCAATTTACACAGACGAACGAGAGCACAAAGCGTGTTGCCCGAGCACGAGCAACTCGGTGCCCCTCTCCTTTCCTCGTCACGCTCTCTCCTACAAACGTCGAGTTGCGGCAACAAAAATCGCCGTGTGTAAATGAAACGAGCAACACCAAAAGGGAATGTGAAAAATCGCGTCGACAAAAGTATCCGTGTATAAACGCAGGGGCACCGAGTTGCTCGTGCTCGGGCAACACGCTTTTTGCTCTCGTTCGTCTGTGTAAATTGAACCGCTGTTCACAGCTGTAGTTGAACGTAGGTGTACATATACATACCTATATGTATGCAGTGAAAACTTCTTTATGAATTAACGAAAATTGCTACAATGCAATTGTTGTTGTCAGCTGTAAATGAGCAGAGCTAATTTGCGCGAACAGAGCTAGTGTAAACATAAAAACACCGCTTGCAATTTTTGTAAGTGGACAGAGCACTTGCAAACATCCTCATGCAAAAGAAAGAGAACGTGAATCAAATCAAAAGCGAAGCAATTGGTGAAGCAAATACGCAAATTGAACAAATGTGGTATTTACACATGATGCAATAATACAAGGTGGTATCAGTTGTGACAGCTCGATTGGACACTGCCTTAGCTCAGTAGAATAAGAAGAGAAATGGGAAGAAATGAATCCCCACTTGGGGGAAAAATATAAAATTTCATATTTTCTTCTAAACAAAATTTGCTTTTTTATAGTATATTCGTAATGAAATGAAATAAAATAAGATAAAATAACTTTTTGAGAAAACAAAATGTGTATACTGAGAAAAAATAAAAAATAGTATATACTATACTATATTATTAGGCAAAGAATTGTTAAAGAAGTAACACTGTTTCACCTAAGGCAGTCAATATGGCGGAATTTGAGCGAGAAGTTGCCAACCGATAACACCTTGTATTATTGCATCATGGTATATACACACTTCACAAAAAACAAATGGTGGTGAAATAGCAAGGAATGAAGGAATCGACTACAGAGAAGCTGAGCGCGCTACAATGCACTGCACTTTAAGGGCCGGTTGTTCAATGTCTGATTAGCACAAATCGGAGGTAGAAGCTCCGGTTAAGCACAACTACTGCTTTATCGATCACATGTTACATGCATGATGTCGAAATCGTCGATAGTGTAGTGGTAGTGATAACCAGACATTGAACAACCGGCCCTAAATGTAAATAGACCGATTACATCTGAGCTGGACACTGAAGCGCCTGTGCTACTGATATTATCGATAGTGTACATATCGTACACCTAGATCTAAAGTGCGATCAACTAAAAAAAAAATGTTGGGCGATTTTTTTGCATAAATTTCGCTCCCTGAATTCTGAGCAAGCTCACTTTAGATATAGGTGTGCGATATGTACATATGTACATAGATATGTAGGTAAATGCACGGGTATGTGAGAACAAAAGACACTGCAACCTGAAAGGTCCTTTGTATATATATATACATATGTTTATTTATATATGTACATAAGAGTGGTCCAATTTTCATTTGCGGAAAAAAATTTAATAAAAAAAAAAAATGGGGTACCCCCTTAGTTTTTTCTTTTTGATATTTGTAATATCTATACCAAATTTCAGTTTTCTACTGCAGCCAATGCAGGGTGCTCAATGGCCTTTAAATGCGCTACTAGATCGCTGTGAAACCGCCAAAAATATTGATGATTTCTATAAAACACTACTGTTGCCATGACAACTGAAGCTGGTGATATTTTTTTAGATAACTTAAATTTGAAATGTTCTTAGGTTACTTAACCAATTGTACTTTTAGAGCAAAATATGAGCATAATGAGCATTCAGTAAATTTATACTTTGAAACGTAAGGTTTGGAACCAGCACCTCTTTCGACAAGGAGAAACATTTTTGAAGTGCTCCAAACCCTATCTCGGAAACATTTTTTTTGGACCACTCTAATGTACATGCACATGTACGCACACAAAATACGTATAATGTGTATAAGTATGCATGCAAGTTTTTAGCATTCCATTAATGCTTCCTTTATTTGCTCACATTGCAAAATTTGCTGAAGTTCTCGACGATAATGTACTTTTCGTAAAAGGTTACCGTTTGATTACTCTGAATACCGAACTGTTTAAATATTTCCTGTTTTTTTGGCGGCAATCGCGTTATATGTGTACAGACCCCATCTTCAACCCTATGCGTTTCATGTACGTCGAAGTTTTCGTAAATCATCAAATTCCCTAAAGCTTTTGGCATCAGACACCTCGCGGGCAATGAATCAAAGCCACTTGTAACTCTTGAGGCGGCGCTGCTGTCCAATGAACCTCCGGCATTCGGGCCAAACTCCATGCTATCATTCGATTGCTGCTGAACTATATTTTTTAGATCTGAAAAGTACAAACGTTAAAAAAAACTTAGTAATTACATACACATGTTTTTTAAACAGTAAGAGGACACTTAAAAATGAAAACAGGAAATGTCAAATGAAACTGTGTAGCACAGTGAATGCGTAGAGCACCTTATTTTAGTGTACATTTGTCATTAGAAAATAACTGAAGTTTATAAATTTTTAGATTTACCCTGGGATTCAGTAATTCAGTCTCNAATTGAGATTATCAATTAGTGACTATTTTTGTGACTTGAGACGATTTGGGTATTCAGAAGGAGAGAGTCACAAAAAGTTCACCAAAAATGTGTGGTGAAAGCAAACACAGACAGTCAACTGATAGTGTTTAGTCTGCCTTGTGCCCGCGCCGCTCAAAGAGTCGCAAGGCCGAGTGGTCAAAGCATTACGCTGGCAGCCGAGAGGGTCCGGGTTCAAGTCCTCCTCGGCCGTAGAGGATTTTTTTTTTATTTTTTTGTTAGTTTTATTTTTTTTTTAACAATCTTTAGATTTTAATGTTTTAAAAACAAATAAAATAAATTTTTTTTAAATCCATTTCTATGATATTAAAGTATTTTGGTTTATTTCCTAATGAAATTGTTGTTGAACAAATTTCCTCGCTTCATTTTGGCGTTTTTTTTTTAATAAAATGGAAAGAAATAAGCTTTTCTTCCATACTTCTATTTTTGTGACCGGCTCTTAGCCGGCTGACAAATTAGTGACTTATTTTTGAGACTAGAGACGTGAGACAGCGTACTGAATACCAAATAGTCTCAAAATCCAAGTTCACCACCATAAGTCACTATTAGTGACTAGAGACCGCTTACTGAATGCCAGGGTTAGCGAACTTGTTCATTTAAATTATCGTCAGCAAAAATGCTACAATGTACCACAATCATATGTTTTACGTGTATACAAACTTCTCTCCAAGAGAAGTGTCACTTTGCGCTCTGAATTTTTGAGTGATGGATAATTTTTTGGTCTGCACGAAAGCGATTTGAATAAAAATCAAAATAACTGTAACTGTCAAAAGGCAAAAGACGCCAGAGAACCGAGTACGGGAACGCTTTCTGGTAAATTCCTGTAAATTCTTGCAACTTCTTACTAGTTAGGGAACGCAACTATTTTTTGTTCGACGAACAGGGGCCTGTTTCTCAAAACTACAAATATACATGTTACAAGCAGGGTTGTTGCGAATATTCGTATTCGCATTCACAACCGGATCTTTTGCGAATGCGAATATTGAAGGGACCGAAAACTGTTTTTTTTCGAGTTAAACTTAGCCAAATATTTTTATTCCGAAATAAAAGTACTTTGCGGATATTACACAAATCGCTTATCCAAATTAAACAAGTTTGATATCAAATGAAAGAGGACTTAAATAGCTTTAAAACTGAAATGTCTAAACGAGGAAAGCCACATATTGAAAAATATTCCAATAAAAAATTTAAATTAATAACCATAGAACAAACCTTGGGCCAGGTATGTATTTATATGAATTTCTTTAGTATTTGATTATAAAAAAAAATTATAAATCGAGGTGGTAATCTTCGTTCGTTTTTTCTGTTTAAAAGCTATTTCAGTCTTCTTTCATATGATACGAAATTTGTTAATTTAATTTGGATAAGCGGTTTGTTTATTATCCGGAAAGGACGTTTCTTTCGGAATAAAAAATATTAGGCCAAATTTAACTAGTAAAAAAATAACTGTTATTTTAGGTCCCTAGAATATTATGCAAGTGCACTGATAATACGTATATCTGACCAGTCACAGAAGAAAGCATTAAAAATGAATTACAAAAACTAAAATCGAAAAACGCTGATGGCGTGACAGGTTCTCCGAATTCCGAGACAACCAAAAGAATGAGAATGAAGAATTATTTGGAAAACAACGGTGTTTAAACAACGATCATGCCATGATGCTAGATTGTGAAGATGAAAGTCAGGAGGATACATCCGACATTTGCGGCCCCGATGCAATTCTCAGAAAGTAATTATTGCACCGCAATAAAAAAAAGAAAAATAACTGAAAGTTCTCTCAACTGGTGCAGTGTCAATCGAAATGAATTTACAATTTTGTCAAGTTTCAAGTTTGTCGCCTAGAGCGAGTAGTTATAAAGTGGCGCAGGTTTGATTTACGACCCTTTAAAAAGTTTTTATTAAAGAGAATGTTCCAATTTTTAAATTCAAGTACTAAAAAAACATTCAGTCTTATCATGAGTTTCATTTTTCCCGAACCGGTTCACTTTTCACTTTTGGTTTTCATGTATTTACTATGGGCGGAATACACATTTTTGGGCGAAACTCAGGAAAAGCAGATTATTAAAAATTACTAACCTTTCCATTTTTTATTTACCTAAGTCACCTAATTTACCCACCTAAATTATTTCTTAAAAAAACATGACGTCCGCATTCGCATCCGCAGATGTCTAAAATTCCACATTCGCAACATCCCTGGTTACAAGCTACAAGGTACAATGCTCATTTTTCAAAAATGCATTACACACAAGTATTTCTCTTGCCTTCCGTTTTATATTTAATTTTAAAAACAAATCACTAAAAGCTCGCTATAAAATGATGCTCAAAAAATATTTTTTAAAGAACTTTTGAAAAAATTTTTTTGAAGTAAAAAAACCATTTTAAAATTTTTCCAAGAATATGGTGGCTGCAATTTAAAATAAATCGGTCCTATTGTGGTTGTCGGCGTCGACGTCATCAGTTTCGCTGACCACATTTCAGAAAATATTTAATTTTGTTTTTGTTGTACAATTTTGAAAAAAATTAACATAAAGTTGGTGGTCTCCTTCGAAGGCAAATAAGTCTCTCTGCACAGCAGCGCTTGCAGCACCGTACTAAGCACGGGTAACACTGCGCTGCTCAGCGCAATCGCGTTAACACCGTAGCCGGGGTTGCTGCGCCAACACCAGTATATGGAAAGCGCCAGCGCCATTAACACCAAGCAACACATGAGGCACATACACAATTCGCCTTAACTCTTTGAAAATTTACACGTACTTTGGTTTTGCTTTTGAGCGTTGAGAACGCAAATTTAAAGCTTTTACTCAAGAACGATGAGAATATCGTGGCATTTACTACATTCCTAGCAATTAAATTCGGTTGGCGGTACAAGCGTTGCTCAGCGCCGAAAATTATAGAAATAATAGATATGACACCACTGTATGGTGTACTACACTGTATGACGATGGGCACTGTGGTGACACTCAGATGGCGCCGTGTTCAATTCATTACACTGCGCTATTGCGCTGAGTTAGTGTGCTGACACCACAGTTGGCGCTGGCATTATTGAGCTAGCGTCAAAAAAATTGCGCTATTACCCATGGCTACACCGTACTACTATTACAGGTGTGTATATCATGGTGGCACTTCGGGATGTCTTTCCTAATTATGATTAATGTGAGCTGTGTCGTGCCCATGCACTCCATTGGCTAGAAGTAGCGTCGTCTGCACATTTATTTAAGCTCAAACTAGTTCTGAGAGCACCTTTCCATACATTTTCTCTAGGCCCTGTGATAATATCTGCTATCATGATGAGTTAGTTTCATCAAACCACAGCGGACTTGTCGATGAAATATTTAATTCACAAGGGATAAAGGGTGAGTTAATGGGCTTCAAAAATGTGATTCACAAGGGAAACGAATTTTACTACCCCATATAAATTAACAGACCAACGAATTAACACTTCCCTTTGTATTTAAACGTCGCCAGAATATTCCCTGCAGGAAATGTATCTAACTATAAGCTAACTTCAAGTTGATTAAGAAGGAGCTAAAAGTCACTTATTATCTGTATATTTTCTTTGACGAAAGCTAACTATATTTGTATGGCGATGGCCGCGAAATAGTCAAGGGTGCTTTACCTCGGCATTAGATGTAACTAACTTGTAACTAACTTGTAACTAACTACTTTTGGACATTAAATATCAATAGCAAAAACAAAATATTTTATTTTGACTTTTTTTTTTAATTTTCATTTACTTTATTTATTTTATTACATTTCATATTTGTTTCCATATTCTGCTGTAGGTGGTCCCATATTCGAACTTCGTCAGACATAACTTCAAAATGATAATATGAAATTTCGATCTTCCTTTTATTTGTCCTCAATTCGAAAAAGTATTTGCGAATGCAAGATATTTAAATGGGAACGCGTTTAAAGAAAACAATCTCGAGATTTACTCCTGCATTATTTGTCCACTTGTTTCAAGTCAGCTTTTTGTAGCTAACTACAGGTTATATATTTTATAGAAATCCCGCAAAAAATCTAACTACAAGTAGGTTATTTTTATCAATTGAAAATTTTTTCTGCAGGGTTTGACTGCAATTTTGATGTGTACACATCTTTGCTTTCGGTAGGGGTAAAATTTGCGAAGCTGTAACGCATATCCCAGCAGAAAATTTCGAAGGGCTGATTTGCCGTTATTTAAACTTGACGGCGCGATTGTTATTGTTAATTCTATAAATTAATTTGTTCATTTGTTTAAAACCTTATTAAAAGCAAACTGCAAAAAAACGTTTAGGCATATGCATAGTAAGAGGAAATGCGGCACAATTGATTATTACTTCCGATTACGCAAACTCCGCACATGTATACGGCTTTGTACCTCTATGTATACAAGTACATATAAGTTGTACCAAAAAATTTGCGCCTTATATAAGCTTTATTTAATATGATCGTAAGTCTTAACATTAAATGCTTGAAACTTGTAAGCAATACAACTTCTATGGCACAACCCTTATTTTACACCTGATTTCGCCGTATTGATGTAATTGGGAATAAGGTTTAACTTTTTCTCTCTCAGAGAGAATAAAAAGAAATAAAAACATAACATACTCATGGAGAAAAATTTGCATGGTTGGAGAATGGCGTGTGGCACCTCCCATATAAACCGAACTTTTCATATTGCATATTTCTGGAAGTGTTCATGGTAGACTGTAAGCCTTTTTAAAACTCTTTAGTTTGACACCCTCATGCCAACATTGCATTTACTTTATCAATTTAACTGAGTTACAATTTCCAAATAGGTGGCAGCCCCCTCAAAAATATTTCCAACAGTTATCTTTCTCAAACCTTTTTAATTTGATACCCATATTGTAATATTTTATTTATTTTATCAATGTAATTTAGTTAAATTTTCAAACAGATGGCAACCCTCCTCAAACATATTTTCGGCAGTAAGCCTTCTTAAAACTCTTTAGTTTGACACCCACATGGCAATATTTCATTTTTTTTAACTGAGTTTAAATTTTCAAATAGGAGGCCACCCTCGTCAAAAATACTTCCAGCAGTTATCTTTCTTAAACCTCTTTAACTTAATACCCATATTGTAATAATTCATTGATTTTAAATTAATTAAATTTTAAAATAGGTGGCAACCCACCAAATTTTTGCGATATCAATGGTTCTGGTATTATACCGAATAATAAAAAAAATATTCTTCAAATCGGTTCAGCCGTTCTCGGGTTTTGATGACCGTGACATACGAACACAACATATTTATATATATATAGATATACATAGAAGATGTCCAATGTGTGCTTTCGATTTGAATCTTTGACCACAACAAAAATTCCACATTGTATATTCGTGAATGAACTTTCAGTTTCTCGATTACTTTTACAATTCCTTTGAGTAATTGGAAAAACTAAAGTACTCTTGCAATTCCAGGTAATGGAATTGAAAAAAAAATCAATTACATTTTCAATTCCTTTCAAAGGAATTGGAAAAAAAATTACATTACTAGCACGTAATTTATTCCAATTACAATATGAAATTCCTTGTAATGGAATTAAAGAAAAACCCAATTACATTTGAAATTACTTCAAGGAATTGAAAAAGTAATCGATTCCTTTGCTGTGGACTGAAGGAATTGATTTCTAATTACAATTCCTTGTAATCTGTAATTGGGAGTAATTTAATTCCTAAAGGAATCATTACGACCCAGCTCTGTTCCTATGTACATCTTAAACACAGGAACTGTGCCTTCCGACTATCACAACATGCTCGATTTGCTGTAATTACTTAAGACGTAAACAACGTCTTGGCTGTTCACCAAACCAGTCTATAGTTTTTCCAATAATCTCAGAATGGTTCTCTGATACAAAACTTTCGATGTTCGCTTAGGAAACACAAACCTCAAGATAAAGAGATAAACAATTGAAATATAGATTTATTTGTTAGTTTACCGTTCAATCCATTTTCGCTCATTGTCGACTGCAGCCAGGTTTTTACCCTTCTTGAATAGAAGTGCTTCGAAGTTAGCGAGAATAACTTGATACCGAACCGGATGATCCACATATCCACTTTTTAAAACAATTTACTAATTATTTTGTTTGCATTGAGTGTGTAATTTGTTATATATACATAATTACATTTTCAATTCCTTTCAAAGGAATTGAAATAAAAGAAATTACATTACTAGCACGTAATTTATTCCAATTACAATATGAAATTCCTTGTAATGGAATTAAAGAAAAAAACAATTCCATTTGAAATTACTTCAAGGAATTGAAAAAGTAATCGATTCCTTTGCAGTGAACTAAAGGAATTGAATCCTAATTACAATTACTGAGGAATGTAATTGTAATTGTAATGTAATTGCATTTACCCAGCTCTGCATAGGAAGGACTATGATTTGAGGGTAAGCACCTGGAATATCCGAAACTTATTCGATGCGATGGACGGGGCGAGGAAGGTAAGCGTGGAGCCTTGTGACGTCTACTACAGTAGCCACGTAGAGAAGAGCAAGTCGGTGTTGGATTTGTGGAGGGAGAGAGCGGCGTTCACTCTAGTGGACGAACGTCAAGCCACAATCCGCATCAAAGCGAGATTCTTCAACATCTCTCTCATATGTGCCAATGCCCCGATTGAAGAGAAGGACGAGGCATCCAATGATCTCTTAGCTTAGAGCGTACATATTGGCGCTGCCTCCGACACGTATAAAAATCGTGGTTGGCGATTTAAATGCTAAGGTGGGCAACGAAGGGATCTTTGGCGCCAGTGTCGGAAAATTCAACCTCCACATAGAAACGGCGGGCTGAGGCAGATCGACTTCGCCGGGGCCCGAAATTTGGCCATTTGTTGTATTGGGTTCTAGTATGAAAATATCCATCTAGCTACATGGGTGTCTCCAGTGTATTGATGACCTCGATGCAGGCAAAAAAAGGGCCCCCAACAATACAAGGAAAGTTCAACGTCGAAAAGCTGCAATCAAAACAGAAACATTCGCCGTTCGACTCTCACACCTACTGTGAGAGAGCACTCTTCAACAAACCGACATACGCGAGCAGTGGAACCACATTTCCCGCTCATTACTGGTACGATGAGGAGTGTCAAGAAGACGCAGAGAAAAATGTTTAAAATGCTGGCCGACAGAAAAAACACCCGAAATTTTTAGCAGAGAGTTGAGCGAATTACGGAAGGTTTCAAGACTTCTGTAGGAACAACCATGGCGACCTAGTGACCGATGTCCAGTTCGTTCTCAAATTATGGAGGGAACACTTTTCGACCCTTTTGAATGGCAGAAGCACTGAAAGAAGTGGAGAAGACGAACACGACTCGTCGATGACGATGGAGTCGATATCCCAGCGCCTGACTATGACGAGGTACGAAAAGCGATTATGCTGATGAAAAGTAACAAAGCTGCTTGAGCTGACGGCCTGTCAGCTGAGCTATTCAACTACGATGGCAAGGAGCTAATGAGGTGCATTCCCGACGACTGGAATTCAAGTGCGCTCTGCCCAATCCACAAGAAAGGCGACCACACAATGCGTGCCAACTACCCCAGCATCATCCTTCTAAGCATAGGTTGCAAGGTCTTGACGAATGTATTGTGTGAAATTGCCGTCAATGCACTATGGGTAAAATTATACCTTTTGTTGGCCAAAACCCCAAAGAGATAAAAATACCGTTCTTGTAGAAGCATTAATCTTAACATGGTAGATAAATTAACGGCTGTAAAATTTACCAGTCTCACAATCATTATCTTAACAAATTTGCACAATTTTTTTAATGTTAAAAATATACTCAACAATTTTTATGAGCTCGAGGCCGTTTTCAGTGAAAACTTATTGTGGAAAAGCAACAATAATTTGAAAAAATGGTAGAAGTGATAGCTATTTCGGAAATCACCACATTTCCTCATCAGACTTCTTTCAGTAGGATTCGAACCGACGATCACCACTGACTCAGCCAGTTGCCTACGCACTGTGCTAAGTTTGTCTTGTTAATTCTTGTTGCTTATTTTCCACTATTTCACTTTGCTAAGCCAACTACAATCAAGCGCAGCTATTCCGCTGCAATTCACTTGATCGTGTGGTTGTTGGTTTTGTTGGTTTTTGTTAATATTTCTATTATTAGAATGTTTAATTTTTTAGGTGTGCTCGTCCTTAAGTTATTTGTTTTTGTTATTTTTATGGACTTTATAACAATTATATTCAACAATTTTTATGATATTCACCTTAAAAGCGCAGTTACCCACGGACGTAAAAAAGGAGAACGTGTCTGCTGACACGATCTATCTTATGGGATCTGCGTGTTAATAAAAATCACCACCGCATGATCGTGACGTAGACGTTGCTTCTCTCTCTTTCTATCAACAGCACACTTGATATCTTTCTACGTATTTCTACGCTACGTACACGTTCGTGGGTAACCGCGCTCAAAGGGCTTGAATCGTTAACGGATTGTTCGTATAAAATCGACACCACACAAAAAAGTAATTTTCAAAGAAAAATGAACCAATGAGCCACCGCTCCAAAATACGCACCAAACCGTTATTCTCTGAGGTTGAATTTGCTTCTCGATGATCACGTGCGGGTTTTTCGATGCCCAGATGTGTCAGTTTTGCTTGTTAACATAATCGCCGAGATCAAAATGCGCTTTCTTTGTAGATACTTTTCGTGTGCATTATTTCCGAGAGTATTTCTGCCAAGAACAATATTCTTATCAAGGCACATTGAAAAGGTAGTATCAGTATAGCAGCTGATTTGATTTTTTCCAAATTTCTTGGTCTCGAAAATGTCAAAATGTTTTAGTTTCTTCTCACAAAAATTCTAAATTGTTAAAATCTATTTGCATGTGAAACCTTTTCCATGCAAAACAAGCTATTGAATAGCAGCTTTTGGAACGTTCGCGCAACTCAGCAGCACAACCGCTAATTACTGGGCCATGCAACGGATGGATCAAAGCTTTGAGAAGCAAACAAATTAACTAGGAAATAAAGTTGCAACAATTTTAATTTTTCCAATTTAAATTTTTTATTTTTTGATTTATAAGAAAAAATCGAACAGATTTTACACTTTCGATACCAGAAGCAATAACAAAATACACGCAAATTGTTGTTTTGTATTGATTCTTACAAAATCTATTTCCAGTTCGGAGGCGGCGTAAAACTGTAGGTCCCTCCATTTGTCTAACAACAACACAGACCACTATTCAATAATTTAAAAAATGCGGCTCTTTTTATTTTATTTTTGCTTAGAACATTTTGGCTCTTTTTACTTTCTAAAATACATATGTATTTCTTTGCTAGATATTCTTTTCCATTGTGTTGTTTTTTTTTTAGATGGCTTTCTGACTTAATGATTTTTTCCGATATGATGGAATATATGCAAACTTCAATTCAATCAAGGAGAGAATAAAAATGTTTTTGATTTGTCCCAAATTATTTTAAGTTTTGAAGCTAAACTACCTATTTTTGTTCATGATCTCAAAAAAAGAATATTTCATAATTTTCCATGGCTAGAAAAAATATTGCACATGATTTAAAAGCAGATTTTGAAAAAAGATTTGCCGATTTGAAATTATTTAAATGTACGTTTGCATACTTCATAAACCCTTTTTTATGTAACATAATTGAGGATGAATTTATAATATCCGAAAAAGGAGTACTTCGTATTTTAAGAAAAGCGAAAGAAGAAAAGTTGGAATTTTTGGAATTAAAAGATAAGACACTGGAAATGCAACATAAAGCTTTGCCGTTGCGTGAATTCCGGCAACAAGTACCAGATTTAAAATATCCGCTGATGAAAACAGCTGCGTGCCGTATATTTTCAACTTTTGGCACAACGTATAACTGTGAGTCTTTGTACTCTACATCGAAATTCGTTAAGTCAAAGTACCGTTCACAATTAGTTGCATTTGCGTTCCTGATGAAAGTTATAAAAACTATATGTAGGGGTAATTGAGAGAGCAAAGTGACATTTCATTTTGAGGGGAAACTGTTAGTTTCTGCTGGGAAAATTTTTGCCAACAACAATTTGCCAACAAGAAACAGGTGCTTGGAATATTACGGTTTGGAAGTTAAAATAGTAAAATGCGACTAATTAAACTTGTAAGAAGGAAGTAATTATTCACTGAGCCAAAAGCACAATGGTTTTTCAACCAAGTTATGGTTTGTTTTTTTTTTTCATGGTCAACAAACCGATTGTAAGAAATGTGATTCAAGGTGAACATTGGCTTGCTGTTATTTGTTGGCTTACAGCAGTACGAATGTCGTTAGCGCGAAACATAATTTTTTTTCAGTTTTTGGTTTTTCTTAATTACGAAAAAGCCTCTGTGAAGTGAAGGACCAAATCAAACGACGACGAAAATTGATTCAACTTGAACATTTGAAGACACATTTTTTAGAGCAGCTATAGCTGAGTGTGTAAAAATGCTTCCTGTTATTTGCTAATCCCGTCAAAGGCAACATGTTAGTAAAATGATAATAAAAACTTTTGTTTTGTATCTCCGAATTATGGAGAAGCATCTGTGAAGTGCAGAACATAAACGTATTTATTTATCTATTTATTTATTAAGTCTACAGAAAAATGTTTTCTTACACACAAATGAGATAAAAAGATTTAGATATTTAAGTATGTATGATATATTACAGAGTAAACTAATTATACATATTCATTTGTAATAATATAATAACAATATAAAATAGCAAGTTGGGTAGCTGGCGTGCCTAGTCTGCAGTCTACTTTTGTGTGCGGCGGGCAGAAAGACATAGTTTCTGCTCCGCCCTATGGACAAGCAGTTGTTTATGGTTGGAAAGGCCGAGTTTCCGATCCATGTTCCCGAAGTCATTACGTTGTATGTGAGGCAGGCGGAAAGGCCTAGTTTCCGCTCCGTGCTGTAGACGAACTGTTGGGCTTGGTCGGAAAGGCCGAGTTTCCGATCCATGTTCCCGAAGTCATTACGTTGTATGTGAGGCAGGCGGAAAGGCCTAGTTTCCGCTCCGTGCTGTAGACGAACTGTTGGGCTTGGTCGGAAAGGCCGAGTTTCCGATCCATGCTCGTATTGTCTTACGCGGTCGCGGAAATATACGAAGCCGTTACAATTGTACTAAGCAGTCATAGATATTGTGTAATTTTTCGTTCCCGGTTAAATATATTAATTTATTTATTCAACATGTTGAGCAAAGTTTTCTTTATTACAAAAAGCGATTCAGATATGTTGAAGCAATCATAATGTTTATTAAAATCTTGGCATAGACAACGAAAAGCATCATGCATTTCAAAGTTTGATTTACAAATACTCAACACAATAGGTTTAAAATGTCTCGAGGGTCTTGTACACAAATTTATCTCGCTCAGTAAAAAGGGACTAATGACCATCCCGTTCATTTGTTTAATTAAAAAAAGAACACCAAGCATTTCTCTACGACTTTGAAGTGTCGGCAAATCTATAAGCTTCAGGCAATCTTTGCAGGGTGGGAGATTTTAGACGAGTCCCAAAGTATATTTTTTAGGGCAAATAAAAGGAATTGTTTTTGCACTGATTCGAGCCTGTCACTATGAATTTGATAACTACGATTCCATTCTACAGATGCATATTCCAAAAACGGTCTTACTAGAGAGGTAAAAAGAACTTTAGTGACATAAAGATCGTTGAACTTCTTAGCCCAGCGCTTAATAAAAGCCAGTACTCCTCTAGCCCTAATCAAGCAGGAGTTTATGTGAGACTTGAATTCTAGTTTCGGATCCATAATAACACCTAGGTCAATGAAATTGGTTACTTGCTCAACATTGTGGTCAGATATCATACACGAATTTGAGTGGAACGATTTTCTAGAGAAGGACATGAATTTACACTTTTTCAAATTGAGTGACATGGAATTGGCTTCACACCACTCGAAAATGCTAGTTAGGTCACCTTGCAAATGCTGCCTATCTTCTGCACTACTAATGTACTTAAAGAGCTTAACATCATCAGCGTACATTAAGCATTTCGAATAATTCAACACCTTAGGAAGGTCATTTATAAATAAAATAAACGAGAGGGGACCAAGATGGCTGCCCTGAGGTACACCGGATGTGACATGTATTGCCCGAGAAGTACAATTTTTCAAAATTACTCTTTGTTTCCTATCTACTAAGTAAGAAGAAAGCCAGCTGAGAATAATAGGAGAGAAACCAATTCGATTAAGTTTATATATAAGGGCTGAATGTGATAATTTACCAAATGCCTTGCTGAAGTCAGTGTAAATCACGTCCGTTCGGAGATTGTTTTTAAACCCATTAGACACATAAGTAGTGAATTCAAGTAGATTATACACAGTTGATTTACCTTTGCAAAAACCGTGTTGCGATAGGCCAATAGCAGAAGTATAAGAGTGAGATAGTTTTTCCGTAATGATTACCTCAAAAACTTTAGGAATAGCACAAAGCTTCACAATTCCTCTATAGTTTGCGATGTCAGTCCTACTTCCGTTTTTGTAAAGTTGCAAGATAAACGGATCCTTCCAGGAAGATGGGAAGACACCCTGTTTTAGGGAAGCATTAAAAATATTTGTCAGAGGCTTATAAAAATACTCTGCACAACTTTTAAGGTCACCTGTTGGTATACCGTCTCGGCCAGCTGAATACGAAATTTTCAAACAATTCAAATAAATGAGGACATCCTCAGCAGATATCGATGGAATTCGGATGCAATCAAATGATTGTAGAAAGAATGGGTAGCTAGATAAATTCGAATTTGGTTGGGAAGGCGCAGAGAAGTTTGACTCGAAGAAACATATCGGCAATAATATTTTCGTCACTGGAGACTAAGTCATTTAACTTCAATGTCGAAGGATAACCGTTAGTCTTACGCTTTGTGTTCACAAAGGCGTAACACGATTTGGGATTAGAAACTATATTGAGTCGAACCCTGTTAATATAATTATTGTGAACATATGTTCCCTACGCTTTTATACATACATGCTGTAAAAGTGTTGGGGCTGTTAACTTATCAGTTAACGATTTAACTATAGTTTAAAATAGATAAGTTCACGGCCCTTAATATGCTAAATTTGTTAAATGACACATCAAGTCGATTGACCATATATGCTCTTGTGGTGTGATTGTACCAGCACGCTGGTGTCGTGAGTGGTGAAATCAGCTCAATTTTCTAAGTAAAAAGTATTTTGGCGGAAATTTCTTGCACTATATGAGTCAAAGCCGTGTTTGTAGAAGATTAAGTTCACGATATTGCAGTTGTATTACAAAAAAAAACAATGTTTAACAAAATTCTAGAAAAATTATGAAATTTCGGCTCTAATCATTTCGATCTTTCTTCGACCTCATTTGTAAACAAATAAATATTGTACCGGCATGCTGGTAATTATATGCTTCGAGCCTGATGGTCCAATCACTTGATGGAACCAGCAAACTGGTGTCGTATATTTTTGGTTGTATAAAATATTAGCTTTTTTCCCAGAGTTCATTGTTTTTATATACCATAACTTATTGAAAATGTTTGCGTGTATACTTATATATGTATATGTACGTAAAAAAAGTTAGCTACCATTTTTAGCCACAACGACTTTTTTAGCCCTTTTTTTTAAAGGAATTTGGCTACCACTAAAAATTATGCGCGGCAACACTGCTTCTAGGGATAAATCGATACCATCAAGGTATTACTCAAATCAGTACTTGTACTTGTATAAAATAAGGTATCGATAACTAGTCAGTATCGAAAAGGTATCGAGTACTTGAACACATTTGGCGTATTTTTCAAAGCTATTGTATTTTTTTCACAGAAAATATGCATTTTTGCAAGATGATTTATTTTTTAATATTTTTTTATACAAAAATTTAAGACAACCATTATTTACTATAGTATTTGATTTCAAAAACAATAGAATACATTTATACAAGATTAATAGACAAAGTTTTTTCATATAAAATAAGTATAAGAAAATAACTCCTTTTTTGTTATCTATATTTCCCAAAAATATCAACTTCGCAACTCGCAGGGAAAGTTGACCCTACAACCGTTATGTATATCAGGGTTGTTGCGAATATTATTACAAAATAGAAGTCCTTTCCGGATGATAAACAAACAACAGACCGCTGCAGACTTCAGTGAGCCCTTAAACCGAATAAGCCGGAGTGGCCCCACCGAAGCTCCTTCTCTTCCTGCCGTAACCCGAGGCTCCACTCGGATTGGTTACCGCATCTCGCACATGGGTTGCTCACGTTGCCCAGAGTGCGCGCACGAGGACGCAAGAGTCGGAATTGAGTATAGTCGTGCGACTGTAACTGCATACCCAGCACAACGACTATACCTACGGTGACCATCCGTCCTGTATTATACGGGACAGTCCTCTTTTTTGACACTTTGTCCTGGTAATTTATTTATTTTATACGGCAAGTCAAATGTTCTGTATTTCTTTTAATGTCCTGTATTTGTCCCGTATTCGGTGTTCGGTATTTCGACGCCTTCAAAACTCATTAAAATGACATGCCTATGAACGAGTTCTAAGAGATATTTGGTACATATATGATACTAATTTTCTCCATAAACAGTTATTATTTCCTAATCTGAATGCCTGTGATTCGAATCGAGGAATACATACAGTGACTAAAATAGAAATTAGGGCAGGAAATTTGAGTAAGTTTTGACTATTTTTCTTTAGTTTAGTTATTGTTTATTATTTATTTTATGAAAGTAAAGCTCATTACCTAACAAAAACCATATAATACCAAATTTTTAACTTTGTGCAAAAAACTATAAAAATTAATTCTGCAAGGTTTCACCAAAATTTCAAACTTTGTAATTAGAATCTTTAGAAAAAAATTTGGTTTGCAGTTTTGTAACTCATTAAAATTTAGTATTATAAAGTGCGAGTGGAAAGGGCTGCTGATTTGCTTCTCTATTAAAAAAATGGTCGAATTTACTTACTTTGTAGGAAAAAAATTCGTAACCGATACAAGTAAATACAAGTACAGTGAAACCCGGTTAAGCAAGAAAAACGGATTTACGAATCCAATATTAAAAAATTGTATCGCATCGCCAGTTCTCTACCACTGCAGTCCTATTGCGCTGTGGATTTAATAGAAACAAAATTAAAAGATCCAGAGTATGCACAAGCCATGATAATGAATTATATTATGGAATACATATTTCACGTTCTAATTGCTGTACATAAATTTTTCAAAGGTCAATTACATATATTAAAATTAAAAGGTGTGTCTGAGGACGCAGCCAGCGTCATATTAGGGACACAACAAGTTCTGACCATTTATTTTTTCGTTATTTATTTATAACTATATACCTATATATAAACCTTTTTAACATACTTTGTCAAAAATTCTCAAAAATCGACGCAAGTTCTTAAATAAATGGTCAAAACGTATAAATAAATAGTATCCCTAATTATGTGGCCACTACCGTATACATATGTACATATCTTTTAACAATACAAATTTTTTGATAATCTATTTCAATCCACTTAGATGCATTTAAAAAGAAAGGTCCTGTTGAGTTCGAAAAGAAATCAGGAAGGCAATTGAGCTCAATGTAATGTATAATATTAGGATATTAGATTTAAGTATGTACATATGTACGTTGGTGGCAAAAATAATAGAAACGCCTTATTTTGCTTAATTTTTGGCCACATTTCCTTTGTTTATTAATGTTTAATGTACTGTGCTTAGGGTAATGTATTTAGCTTCTAATTTGATGTAATGTACTTAGCTTCTAATTTTTTGACGATCAATAATTAGTTCATAAGATTTTATGAAAATAAAAGAAAAAACAAGTATTACATGTGTCATTAATGATAGATTTCTATATCGTGGGAGAGAGATCAGACTAGACGAATTTTTACATCAACTGTGAGTAATCAACAATGATATGAAAACATGACAGACTTGATGTGTCATGATTGATCGGTTATAACATCAAATTTGATTGCACATTACTGACTTATATTTCTATCAAGGTTGATCACTCATAATTGTCGAAGATTTACATCACTGATGATTAAAATTTGAAGGCCGAACTCAAAGGGAGTAAGCAGTCTAGCAATATGCCAGAACGTATATGTTAGAAGGAGATGAAGCATCACACGTACACAAAAGTTTCCATCAGATTTTTCACACTGCCCTTTAGAATTTGATAGAAACTTGTAGGTAGCCAGTGACAGAAATCTCTATCAGTCTTGCTACTCAAATGATTTGTCAAATGATAGTCACTGTTCTTGCAGGGTCTCTTAGTACCTCCCCGCTTATTTACCCAACCCTCCTAACTACCTCAATTTTTCGTGCCCCATTTACAATTTTACTTATAATTTTCCCCTAGCTCTTTTAAAATACCTTAAAATATTTACGTATTTTCAAATTCAGTAGCAGCGCAACACACCTTCGGTAAAAAAATTCTAAAAAATCAACGGTAGCTTTTAGCCACTTGAAACTTGCACATTATTACACTAAAATTGAATGGGCTATAAAATTGTATACTCAAAAAATACTTCTGAGAAATAAGTTGGAAATTATGACGATTTTTTTTAAGTGTTCTACAAAATCTTAAGCTTACTTTTATATCGTTGGCTGAGTGGAAGATCGACCTACATATCTCGGCAGCCAGTTCGAAAACGCCCTATCTCCGAAAACTTTTCAACAACGCTCTATCTCAGAAATCTTTTCAAGAACGCCCTACTTCAGAATTTGATTTAAAAACACCATATCTTAGAATTTGATTGAATAATGCCCTATCTCAGCTGCCGATTCAAAAACGCCCTATCTCAGTTTATTTTCAGTGTATATTCGTTTGAGATAGGGCGTTTTTGAACCGTATTCTGAGATAGGGCATTATTCAATCAAATCT